AAAGTGGAAAGAGAAGGTAAAGAAGGAGAACCTGAGATGGTAGAGAGAAGAGAAACAAAATTAAATGGTCCTTTACATTCACACCCACACACACCCACACACACGAACACGTACATAGGTGTAAATACACTCATTGTGAATCGGGTCAATGTTGCACAGAGCATCAGACATTTTGAATCCATTTCAATAGAGATTTTCAAATCTCATTAAGAAAAATTTCTTCTCTATTCGTTTTGTTCTCTCTTGGGCTTTATTTTCAAAAATACCTACACGTGTTTAAAAGAGAGGCAACAGAAACACTAATTCTGAATTTCACACTCACCAGAATCCAAGGCAAAATAGACCACAGTGGAATCTCCACACCATGTCCATCCACAAGACCGGGATCCTAATTAGAATAAGATAGACGCCATGTCTGTATGAATATGTCAACTTGACTCTACTGTGATGTCCAGCTAAAAAGAACTAATAAAAATAATTTTCGACAAGAATCCAACGTGAATTGTTCATTGTTGACATTTTCAGATTTCAGCTCCTGCTGTGATTGTGTTGGAGCAAGAAATCGAAGAAGGAATGACTTCCCAACTCCTCCCCAGCCTCCCACATCTGGACGTTGAATTTGTATCTAGAGTTAGATGGCAGAGAAAAATAAACGAATAAATATTTTTCAAGAATAAAAAATGGTGACTCCTTTTATTCCAGGAGAGCGTTCTGACTTGACACCACCTTCCCATTAAGATGGCCCAAGTGACATTCTCAACAATAGCACCTCGCTTTCTCACTAAAGGGCACCAGTCACATTAAAATGTAACCACATGGAAATGAATTTCCCCTTTTTCACATCGCTGTCCTTGGTTTCCATGGAAGAGGGCTAATTACCTTTTTAATAGCCCTAATTGATGGGCTTACAGATCATATCTTTCAGTCCCCACTTGTGTGTGGGGAGATGGGGGCGGGGCCCCTCCTTTTCTCTTGACCCCTGGGCTCCAGCTCTTCCTCATTGGAAGGAGGTTGCTGACTGGTGAAAGGCCCCTGCCCTGTGTCCCTCTGTTTGTAAGACTACCTGCAGCCCATTGTGGGCCGACCAGGAAGCCTCGCTTTGTCGCTTTGTCTTGGCCGATTGACACAGCTGTACACTCAGTAAATAGACTCAGATGTTGAGCTTTTGTTTGAAGGATCTTTTCAGATTAATGCAGAGAGAATTAGTTTTTAAAACTTAAGCTGGAGCCAGGATGAGTAGAATGGAACCGGGAGCCATTGAATTCACATCCCACAAAATGAGACCAACTGTCTTAAGGGGGTGTTTATCCCTGTGCGTTTTTTCGGAGGGAGAGGGAGCCAGGAGGGAGGGGAGAGGCTCCAGTGCTCTCCCGCGCCTCAGGCTCTTTACAGGAGCCATTGTGAGGAGAAGATCTGACCCTTGACCACAGGGGCTGCAGCCTCAGTCTCCAGGGGTGATGGTCCCGCCCCTGTCAAGGAGATGCAATGACTGCAAAATATCTATCTGATATTTTGAGTCCCCAAATTTATGAATCACAAGAGAATCTGATAAATGATGGCAGAGGAGACATGCCCTAGGGCAAAGAGCATTCTAACAAACTGACAGGCCAGAACTTGGAGCCCCCCCCACCCCGCTGATCACCATCTTCCATTTTTATCATTGACAGCACACAGCGAGAGCCAAGGTGCTCATTCTGAACTGTTCCCTGGTGGGACCAAAGTACTGGTCATGGCTCCCAGCTGATGGCTGGTCTCTAGAAGATGGGGCCAAACTTGCCATTTTACTTAGCACAGATTGGGTCTCAGTCACAGTCTTGTGATTAAGAAACCATCATATGAAACTGTGATTAGAGTCCGTATGCCTCTCTAACCTTTAGACTCATTTTTTCTCAAGGTATATATTGGGGATAATTGTGGTTTTTGTTTTTTTTTGTATTTTTTTTTTTTTTTGCTAATATTTCTATGTACTTAGGGAAGTGATTTTATGTTGTGGAAAGAAATTTGACTTTGACCCAGGCAGGTGTGAGTTCAAATCTTGCCTCTTCTGCTTTCACAAGTCACTGCTCTGAGAGCGGATCTCCTGGTCCTGAGGGTTGCGACTTAAGGCTGGGAGGGGTGTAGCTTGGTTGAAAGTAGAGCCTGAGTAGGCTCTGGGCTCTATCCCCAGTGCCACCAAAAACAAACAAAAGGGACAGTTGGTCTCCTGGGTTGTGGAGGGTTGAGTTTCTCATCTGAGTGAAAATGAGAAGCATGTTGCCTACGATATGCTAGAAACCCCAGTGGGCTCTTCCTCCCCAGGCTTCTGCTTTCCTAAGGTTTCGTTTTCACTTTTTTTTTTTTTTTTTTTGAGAAAAGGTCACAAAGAGATACCAAGTGGAAAAAGCATCCAGGGAATTCTAAAATGTGTAGCCATGAAACACACTTCCTTCATTATAGTGACATAGTTAACAAACACTATGTCACTAAAGAATGGCCCCTGGTGGCATGCTGAGCACTAACCTTGTCAACCTTCCCTTCGCTTCTCCATCTCCAGTGTCTGGGTGACGGTCACCACACCTATGACAGGCACTCCCTTACCACCACTTCCTCAACTACATACCCACTGAGCTGAGAAAGAACAGCTGATAAAGCAGAAGAGATGAATGAGAAGTGGGCAGGTAACAGCGGCAAACTTTCCTAAGCATTCTGAAAAGGTGACCGTTTCATAAACCAAGTATAGACAGGGTGGCCTGTGACATATTTCCCAAAGGACAATAGTGGACATGGACTGTGGGATTTAAAAAAAAAAATGCTTATACCTCTTTTCCTGTATGAAGACACTAACCAATCTGGATCCCATCTCCCAGTTCTCCCATGAAGACCCCCCAGTAATGAGTAGAATGAGAATTGAACATTGTGGCCTTATCCAGGACTGAGTTCCCAGGGACTTCCTGAGAAGAAGGTAGGAGGGCAGAAAGTATGGGATTTGAACCTGCTTCAGCAATTAGGAATGGTGCAGGAGGGGGCTGCATGGTGGAGACCTAGATCTACCAAAGGGTAGGTTAGACCCAAGATCTGACCAACATGCCTTGAGACTCTGAGAAATTTACACCGGAAAATAACCATGTGCTTTGAGAGATAGTAAGAGAAATTGTGTTGACTGAGTTTTAAATGACAAAATATACTACCAATCTGTACCCTAGTGTTTCTTTCTTTTGTGACTAAGAAGAAGAGAAACTCCTCGCTCTGATGAGCACCCTTCTCTGCACAGAGAACGCAAGGCAGGAAATCAGAAAAGCTGCCCTTCATCGTGCAGAAGCAAACCCCAAACCTTGCTCAGCCTCACTTCCCAGGGATGGACTCCCTCTCCTGGGGCTCTTCCCACTCCAACATCAGGACTCTACAGAGAAACAGGGAATGGTTTAGAGATGCTACACTTCCTGCCTGTCCCTGTCTCTCTAGAGCCTTAGGCCACCTCCCTCCAGATGAGCATGGAACACAGCTGCCCTGGGAGGTCTGTGCTTCCCAGCACGCTCACAAGGAAGCATCAGCGCTGGGAGCTTAGACCTGAAATGCTCCTAGAGAGGGTGGCGATGTGGAGTGAGGTTTGAGAATTTGGAAAGAAGCCCTGAAGGCAAGTATGGCCTGGTTGATGGAGACACATGAGGAAAGCTAAACAGACACAGAAGTTGCGTAGGGATGCTAGGAAGGCACCAGCGTCAGCCTTGTTCCTACATAAGGCAGTAAAGGAGCTAAAAGGTTAAATAAGGCTCAGACCAGGAGGTCCCATGCTGATTCTGTCTGTTCCCTACTCTGGGCCTCCATATCCCCATTTGCAAGAAAAAGGGGCAGGAGCAGATGCATCAGTGGACCAAGGGTAACTGCCCCCAGCCCACGTTTTGCATGTCTGACCGTGTGGTCGATTCTCCGCCACAATAAATAGTCCCCAAAGTGCACAGTGGTTGAAATTCTGAGGACATTCATTTCATTCTCATACACAGGATGGGTGGGACTGCTGTCCTCCACCCCTGATTTAAATTTTTGAGCTGACTGAGTCTCTGCCACTTGTAACATCTGGCTTCAGAAGTTGCCCAGAAGGTCATCGCCACTCCCTCGAGCCCTGTGTCCCTTTCCTGTGTGGAAAGGGACTCCATGAAGCAGGAAGTTTGTCCCATGGCTACATCTAAGGAGAAGGGGGGGTCTAGAAAATAGAGTCCAGCTGTGTGCCGCGGAAATCCGCGGCTGTGTGGATTCCAGGGAAGGCCAGCGACTCCTGTCCGTTAGGTCCATCCCTCCAGCCCTGCTTCTGGATAGATTAGAAAGAGAAGTGTCCAGAAAGGAACAGAATTCCTGGCATCTGGGAGCAGCCCTTTAGGGCTGGCAGCCCGGAAGGTTGACTCAAGCCAATTTCGTTGTGGGGAAGCCAGTTTCTCTCCGATGTGATGGAGAAGCTGGACGCGTGGTGAAGAGGGCCTGTGTGTGTCATTTTGGGGAAGGAGGCGGAAAAGGTAGGAGAAGGCGGACCTTCCACAGGGAAGGCTTGGGCCTCCCAGGATGAAGTTTGGAAACCCCCTGGCTTCCCTGGCATTGCCCTCTGCCCTTTCCCTCCTTCTGCCCCATTCTCAGTCCCTTTCTCTGGGTGGGCACCAGTGAGCAGACCTGTCACATTGCCTGACACCTCGGCTTCCTGCCCAGCCTGTGGGCCACTTTGGGCTGGAGCTACTGGTGGGAGCTGATTCAGGAGCCTGGCCCAGCCCTGCGGCTTTGATGGGATTTCATCACCGCCTGTGCCTTGGCGGGGTGCCTGGGAGAGTGGCTGAGTGAGCCGTGGCCTCGGGCTATCTGCTTTCACCAGGAGAGGCCTCCTCTCTTCACCAAGAAGAACCTGGAGGTGAGGGGCAAGCCTGGGGCTCCCCTGTCCCTGTGCCTAAGCACTGATCCCACGCCCAAGCCATCTGCCTTGCCCCATTTTCCCAAGGGACAGAGACCAGATAAAGGACGGAGAGAATCAACACTCAACAACTCGTTAATGATTTTATTGCAGGTTAAATAAAATGTCTCAAATAAAACGACAGGAGACCTTCTTTAACCTTAGCCTTGGTAAATATGTATTAACTCAATTACTATCAGCAATTAAGGCCTAGTTTGGGAACAGTGGCCTGAGACAAAAAAGACATTGTCATCCTGGGAAATGAATCCCGAATAAAAGGAATTTATTCCACCTTAGCTAATGAGCAGCTGTATAGGGATGGAAATGAAGGCCCTTGCCTCGGAATTGCTTTTGACCGTTCATACAGGGATGGAGAAAAGGTTCGCCTTTACATAAAGCTCTTGGAAGCACATTAGGGACATTGTTACAATGCAAATGAGGAAGACCGTTGTGTTTGGGTGGTTTATGGTTTTAGTAAAAGGAGTAACATTTCAATTAGTGGGGAAGGAATGAGAACCTGCCTCAAAGAGGCTTAATTGGAGACTTGGCTTTCCCAGGGGGCTTTGAAGTAGCCTCAGAGAGCAGCAGGTTTTCAGGAGTGGGTGGAGAATAGAGCACCTCCAGGGCCCTGGGCTGTGGATGCAGGACGGATGGGAATGCTCAGAAGGTGAAACCTGCCCGCTCCAGTCTTAGGGCTTGAGAATGGCCTTCCCAGCCCTTCAGCCAGCTCCCTCTGAGCATCAGAGCAGCCCTTTCAAAAAAAAAAAAAAAAGAAAAAATCTCCCTTTAAGGACTGCAGCCCTAACCTCACCAGTGTGGAATTCCTCTTTCCTTCTCAAGAGTCCCTTTTGCTGGGTCTCTAAGTCAGCAGGGCAAATGCCTAATTGCAGTGAGCTACTGGGACAGGGATGAGGGATGAGGTTGCGTTATCACAAACAAATACAAAGCATAGTGTGTGTGTGTGTGTGTGTGTGTGTGTGTGTGTGTGTGCTTTCAAGGACTATTTTTCAAGTATACCAAAGATTTGAGTATGATCCCACCCCAGGGAAAGGGCTTGAGTGAGCGATACATCAAGGTCCCGTTCTGATTTTGTGTTGGGAAGATGTCCAGCTTACATTCTTCGGTGGTGTTTTCTCTCCTTCTGTGGTGACCTCCTGGGGTCCTTGTCAGTGCAGCTCCTGCTTGTGAATCCCTCAGCTATTCACCCATCTTGACTTACTGGGGCTTTCTCTCTCCCTGCAGCCCCTCACAGGATATGGGGGCCTGTTTTTGTTGCTATCGCATGGGGGAACTCTCCAAAGGCAATGGGAAGGATGATGTGCCAAGATAATTGTTTCAAATGGAGTTTGGAAAGCGAACTTGGTGAAACCTGTGTTTTAGCTGAAAGACAGCAATCTGACCAGAGCTTTGGAGAGCTTTCCAAACCACGTCTCCCAAGTGGTGTTCCGGTCTCTCTAAGCTTGAAAACCCCAGAAGGAAGAGCTTCCAAATGACCCCATGACTTCTTTGATGGTCTTGAGGCTGCCTGAGGAGGGTGATCTCAGCTCCCTGCCCACGTGAGCAGCTATGCAGTGCGTTGGATTCCACTTCAGGTCTTAGCACTGAAGCTTGAAAACTGGGGGGTGCACTCCACCTCCATCTGAAGCATTCAGCCCCACTCATGCAGGACCCTGGGCCAGGCCTTCTCCCTCCGTCCTCTCCTTTCCCGTGGGTGGCTTCTCCTGGAGCGCTGCCTCGTTTCTCTGGAGCCTGTGGTTTGGGGATTGCCATTAGCCAACTACAACAGGGCTTGGGGAGTTTATTTTGGGCCTAGAATGGGAACTGGACCTGCCCTCTGAGTAATGCTCATCCCTCAGCAGGTCTCACTTAGCTGGTGGCCTGCTATTTTACAAGTGACCCCTCTTCCTACTACCCTCATTTTCTCCCACCCCCATTGGCCCTGGTTGTCCTGGAGAGTGATGTGTCCCTCCCTAGTTTCTTCCTCTGCTGCCTCCTCAGAGGTGGGACTGATGGAAGACACAGCACTTGGATGCACCCTGCACATTCCTGGCCAGGAAAGCTGAGCCACCAAGCCACAGCAGTGGCATGTCCAATCCATTGTGCCTGCCACCATGAGGAACGAGAAGGACCTAGCACAGCCACATCACCTCCTGAGTACGGTAGTGAGTAGACAGGAGATACTGCACCAGGAGCCCCGTTACTTTAGCCACCCAGGGCTCTTCAGCCCCTGGAAGATATTATTGACTAGATGCTTTGGAACAGCACAGATTCATTTGCAGTTTGGAAAGGATCTTCACAATATTCTCACCAGTGTATGCACAGGAAACTGAGAGCCAGAGAGGTGAAGAGATCTACCCCGGTGCTCATAGAAGGAGAAAGAAAGAGCTGAGACCCCAAACCAGATGGTGGTACTGGGGATAGTGTCCCCCCATTTTGACATCAGTGAGTCTCAGATCTCATTTTTCAGTGGATTTTAGCCTTAGCCGATATGGAAATAAGTTTGTCAAATCTGTAAAGAAAGAGGGAGAGAAGTATGTTGATAGGTCAGTGAAACATTTGCCATAGATCTCCCTGGATCTATGGTCAATACTCTGGCCTTTCTCCAGGAAAACTTTTCATACTTTCTTATTTCTCCAAACCCCATTATTATAATCAAGGCTGCTTCAATGGTGCTTCGGATAATGCTTAGGAGAAAAATTTCATACTGGACTATTGTTTTCAAAATGTGCTTTTCAGCATTGGAAATATTTCTGCCCACCAAGAGCACATAAACTGTAAAGGCAAAAAGCTGGGGTCTATTGTCTCCATTTGTACAGAGGGAAAAAATGGGACTTCAAGAGAAGAAGGAACTTGCCCAAAGCCAAACTCCTACCGGACTCATACAGACGTAGAGCCCAAGTCATCGAACAATCTGCAGAATTCTAATCTCCAGCAGGAAGCCACCTGGCTTAGACAAGGGCTGATTATGCTCTCTCCCCTTTGGGGACCATGAAATCAATGTGATTTGGAACATTACCCTTGTCTATGTTTGGATCGACACTACACGTCCTTTTCACCACCCCCTTTGTCTCCCCAACCTGAGTCCTCAGGTACTCCACCTGAATTCCTGTGATTGATGAGATCCTGTCTGTACCCACTAGCTTCCATCCTCATCCAGGGTCTGGAGCATCGTCAGTGCCTCTCCCAGAGCCCAAATAGAGTAGGCCTGGGTCAAGGTCCTAGAGCAGTTGATCTGACTCTTCAGTTCTCCTCTTTTAAAGGAACAGGGTTTAAGAAAATGCATCAGGCCATCCAAGAAGAGGAGATAAAAATCTCTTCATTAATGTTGCTTCTTGGGAGTTTTTTCTGGAACATATGGAGGAAAAAGGAGAATGTCTCAAGGCAGAAAAGGTGAGCTAGCTAATGTGAGGTGTTCACTGCTTAGAACTATAGTCTTGCCAAGAGAGCAGATAAAAAAGAAAATATTTCAAAGAAGAGAAATGTAGCAAAAAAGCCCCAAAAGAATAAGGAAGAATTCCTTAAAAATTACTCCAAAATAAAAAATACAAAAGATAGAAGATGTGGGTTCAGGAGATGCTGAACTCACAATAAAAATCTCCTGATATTGAAAAAGATCTTTGTAAAGAGAGAATTGAGTTTCTCTTTGTGTTTTAGTAAGCTCAAGTGGGCTTCTCTGTAGAATAATGCTTGAAAATCTTCTATTGCAACTTATAGAAGTGTACGTGTGCGTGTGCGTATGTGTGTGTGCATGTGTGTGCACATGTATGTGGTTCCAGTATTCAAAATAACTCATATATTACTTCAAATTCTCCCACCTCTCGTCTGGAGAATGGAGAATAAAAAGGGTCTTGATTCTGCTTGTGGGGTTTTTTTGTTTGTTTGTTTGTTCATTGGCACAGGGGATTGAACCCCGGTGCTTTACCATTGAGCCACACTCTCAGGCCTTTTGATTTTAATTTTTGAGACAGGGTCTCACTAAATTGCCAAGTGCCTTGATAAACTGCGGGGCTCGCTTGGAACTTAGGGTCCTCTGGACTCAGTCTCCTCAGTTGCTAGGATTACAGGTCTGAGCTACCACCTCAGTCCTGCTTCTGCCCTTGAGCCAACTCTGCGTTGCGGCCTAAAATGCAGATCAGATCATTCCCTCCCAACTGCCCACAAGAAGAAGCCCGCCCCAGCAAATAGAAAGATTCTGCCTCTCCTATCTCAGCATTTCCTGCCTTGAAGTTTATGCTGTGGGAACACGGACCCTTCACAATTCCTACTCACACCATGTGGTTTTGACCCTCCCTCAGTCTGCCCACCTGAAATCTCTGCCAGGTCCCAACCTGCCCCTGTGGGAAGCCCTCCCTGAAGCACAGTACAACCCACCTGCCTTCCAGTTCCCCCAAAGTGCCCTGGGCATAACTGTGTCTGGCATTTTGAATCATCTGTCTGGGTGCTGGAGTCCTCTATCACAAAACCAAACTTTTTCTTGAAAAATAACATATACCAAAAGTTGTCCCAATCTTAAGAATACAACCTGCCGAAGGTTTTCAAAGTTTAAGCAGCACCCACAGCTAAAAGCAGCCTCTGTACTTTTGAGGTCAGAGGCCGAATTCAGTTCAGTTCACTTTTGTAATATCAGCACTGAACAGCGCTGCTTGCAGTTTGGACCTCACAACAGGTTGTTGACTGAATCGATGAATGGTTATCTTTCTGTCTCTTGTCTGTTGGACTTGCTTACCTTTCCTCCCAATTCTGGCTCTCCTTGAGTTGACTGACAGGATGATTCAGGATTTCTTATCTAGGCTTTGAGATCCCAAGCTCTGAAACATGAAGGTTCTGAAGAAACATTCATAGCTGGGTAGAGGGATGGGGAGAAGCTGACTGCTGAGATCGCAACTGGCTATGGACCTTGGTAAAAATCCAAAACCTGGTCAAAACAGAAAATAAAAGTCTTATTTCTTCATAGACTTGGAACTGTAATCTCAGTTGCCAATGCAAGCTACAGTATCTAAATGAATTAGGAACAAAGAAGTCATTAGAGAAGAGCAAATTGCAACTTTTTTTTTTCTATTCAATCTAAGAAAAAGGAGCTATTGGTGTTCATTTCTTCCACACTCAGCTCCTGGTGCCAGGCTTTGGCATCCTCTTAGGTCAATGGCTGGTACCACACCTGGGGAGCCAAAGATCCCTTCTCCCTGCAAGCACATAAGCCATCATAAGATGGGTAGCACAGAGTAAGTGTTTGCTAAATATTAACATCCCCATTCATATACAACTTTGAAAAGTCCTCAAGAAATATTAAATCTACCATTTAGTTGGCACCTAATACGTTCCAGGCACTGTGATAAGGATCCACTTACATATTTTACCACATTTATTCTTCATAGCTACTCTCTTACATGGGTGACATTATCCCCATTCTACAGATAAGAAAAAAACTGAGCTTATCCCTGGAGTTTGAACCCATGTCTTGGAGTCCAAAGTCTCTGATAATAATCGCTATGCCATGGAACGAGCAAATAATTTGCTTCTCTCTTGTTCCGGCCACTCATGAGAAGACCAGTGTTGCCCAGTTTTTTTGCTGCTGAGAATTCCTGATTAGAGGACTCCCCCAAATGAACCAAAGAGTCTGAGGACTCAAGGGCCCAAGGGCCTGGTTAATGCTCACAATCATAGTTGGGCTTGATGAGCAGAGGCAGGAAAGATCCAAACTGATGACCTGTCCCACACTTTCCATCCCATTGCTAGAATCCCAGGTTCATTATTACCTAGGGGAGGCCTGATTTCTTGTGACAGATTTTCTCCTGAGGAGCTAGAGTTCTTCATTTAGGTTTAACCAAGGCCTTATTTTCAAAGAAATACTTTGGGGGAAGTTCACAGTGCACAAGGATTTGAAGCACTAAATATCTCCAGTCTTTCCTTGAGGGTAACCAAGGGATCCTTCTGGAACAGAGGCAGCTCCCCCAAAGGAACATTCCTGAATGAGAGATCAACTAAATGCAATGCAGGAGAAAATATTCTCTCCTGGCTGGGATGTGTGCCCCTTGCAGAGGGACATGTAGTCCTGGGACCTCCCCAACACCCTTAGATGGTTCTAAGAAGGGACATTCTGACCAAGCCAGGGGACTGGTTAATGCTCACTAGCATTACCAAGCCACCCTGTTCCCAAGTGCAGACCTCTAATGAGCCCTTCCCATCCCCACCTCTCAACATCCCTGTTTACATTCTCCTCCCCAGTCCACCCAATGTCTGGCTGTTTCCGTAGATCCTCTAGATCAATCATGTTAAAATAGTCACTGTGGCGGGGAAGAACCATGTTTGGGGAATTCTGAGCCCTTCAGGTTTGGTGCCAACAGGAAAAAATATGGGAAAGGAAACCCAAACATTTACAAACATTCAAAAATGTTTAGTTCAAGCTGCCTCTATGTAAATAAGACAGCACTCAGGAGATATCAGTTTTATTTTGCTGAGATTCACTTATTTTGTCCGAAAGAAAGACTGACTTAAAAAATAATAATAATGCAAGTTACCATTCTCACTTGTCCTGTGCTTCTCAGGAGCACCAGACCTTTGTCACGTAGTTTGCTTCAATGCTATTGTATTTCTCCTGCTCTTTGAAACTGAACTCCTCTTTGATGGATATTAGTGGAACGTGCTTCCGAGTCTCCCTAATGAACTTTCCCTTGGAAAATGCCCTGAACAAGGAAGATGCAGAATTGTAGCCATATTTTGTTTAAAGCAAAAAGAGACCCTCTCTTCTAGTTTTCCCCTCTTTGGTCTACCCCAGAGGAATAATCAGCCAAGAATCACAGATGGGATCGTTTACAGTTTTGCTTTCAAGCTCCCCAGCCCTTTCAGATTGTATTTACTCAGCCAAAGTCTTCAGAGGAGCCAGGGCGGGCCTCTGGACAGCCCCATCTTGCTAGTTCTCGGGTGCTCTCATTAGGATTAAACTCGTGCTGATCTGTCAAAAAAATGATTGATGGAGGGACTGGTTTGTGATGCTGTTGATAAAAGTGAGAAGATAGGAGAATTCCAGCATGGAGGCAATGTTCTTCAGAGGACCCTTTGGTTCATGTACCTAAAAGAGCCCAGGATAATACTCCTGCAATAATTACTGGCTAAAAAAAAAATTTTTTTAAAAGAGGGGAGGGATTCAAAATGGAAGACAGCTTTACCACATGGTGAAAACCCTCTGTGGTGGGACTATTCTTTTTGTCCACTGAAAATACCCTATGGGTATTTTTTTTTAGAAATTTTTAAATTAAAATTTTTAATTTTAAAAATAAAAAAAATTTAAGAATATAATCAACATTCATTTTCAAATAAAACTAGGTATACAGGAAATAAGTGAACAATAAAACTCAAAGACATTCCATATTTTTCTCTCAATGGGCATTTCATTAAGAAGAGATTAGTTCTGATAATTAGTAATTTTTGTAAGCAAAATTGTGCAAAGCTGTGCAATTTTGGATGGACACAATGTATTCTCAAAGCATCGAATTTTCAGTGTGACCATTAGAAAAAAGGAGTGGATTTGGTCCCAGGAAACCTGCATTCTTCTTGCTTAGTTGATTTGTGCAGGCATGGATGAGTCTTTGCTTCTTCATCTGTAATCTGGACATATATCCAGATTCTTTTCTTCATATGTTTATTCTGGGAATCAAGCCAGGTCATGAAGGCAACAGCACTTAGGACCCCTAGCACAGGACTGATAAGCCTCAGTCATCTTCGGAGAGTGCTCATTTGTAGTGGATATTCTCCCTTGGTCAGAACCACCAAGATCACCAATAAGAGCTTCCCAGCTCTATGCTTCAGAATTCTCCCAGCTAAGTTTTAGTTCCTGTTGTTGACTCAGCCCAGAATTCCCACCTCCCTTTTTTTCTCTTGTGTCTTTCTAAACTGCACTCCTATCTCAATGCTTAATTCAAATGTTGACTCGTCCCTAAATTTCTCCAATTTTCCTGTCCCTGGAAAACAATCATCATCTTTCCCCCAAGCTTCTGTTATAACTTTCATCTCATAACTTTCAGCAGTCTTTGTCTTCATTCCACCATTTCCCTATGTAATCTGGTCCTTCCAACCTTCTAGCATACACATAAGCACAGGGCACCTCCTGCCCAGTGGGCCTTTGCTATTTTTCTAAGAAATGATAACTATTGACATCACATTCTTCATCCAATCTTATTTAAAAGCACTTACAGAGAGTCCTCACTTTGGACAGGACCATGTTCACCAAAACTCATTCCTATCAGATCTATGTTCTCACTTTGAAGTTACTGGGGGACTGTACCAAGTGAGAATGTGTTTCCAATGTGCACATGTTTTTGTTAAGGTGGTACTGGCCAAAGCAAGGGTTGCTTGTATACCTAAGCAATAATTAACATCTAATCACGTGAAAAACAAAAACAGTAAATCTTGTGTGTTGAGGGCAGCTGGACATGTTTGTTAAACACAGAACTCATGTAGCATCTTGTAAATCAGAGCCCTGGCAAGAAACAGCATAGGGTTTCCAATCTCAGGCTGGGAGGTATTTGGTGTTTGTGGGACTAGGTTGTTCTAGTCTTAGAACTTTTGCTGCAGCTTATAGAAGGCTGTGGATGATAGGCCTTCCTGGATACAAGAGGTCATCTGAAATATGTAGCTTTGCTGCTGAAACATGGCCATTTCCAGAATATTTTAGTAGGTTTAGGAGACAAAGTATGTATGTTCCATGTGTTCCCAGGAATGCTTTAGAGCCCCTTAAAATCAAATAAACATCAGTGTCCCTGGTATCCTGCTCCTTGCCACAATGAATGCTGTGACTGGCACAGACTCACAAAACAATACATTTTAAGCCTCTACAGAACCATGAAACTGCACAGCAAATCTATTTCAAAAGCTAAAATGCTGAGTATATGTACTCCACAGAGGAAAGGGTCATGAAAAAGCAGAAATGATGGAAAATGACCATCAACACAAGTTTAAGCAACTTTAAAGGCAGCCATGCTGTCTGATAATGCTGAGGCAGGAGCCCGTGGTAGAGCACAAGGCAGGGAGCTCCAGTCTATGGTCCAGGTCCTAAGGCTCCAGAGAAGCGGCTCTGCACAGTCTTGGTTCCCAGGACCTTCCCAAAGCACCACAGTAAGAGCGCTGAGTCAGATCAAAATCCACTAAACATGACATGGAATGGAACGGATGCAGTTTTGGGAGATGTCCCACAGGGGATCCTTGGCAATTTAATGAACCGCTTTGAGGCTCTTTCTGTAGTCAAGTGAGAAGAGCCCTGGCTGGTGGGTGGGAGTTGATACTCACCCCTCTGGTGCTGGATGCCTTGAGCCAGTGGCATCCTCTCTCCCCATTTCCATTATTTCACCTGTAAAATGAAAATCACACCCCCTTGCCATTTCCAGAGCTGTCATGCAGATTGAATGAGGCTATGTGGGAAAACACTTGAGTAAAAATGTGAACAAGCATAAGGGGTTCTTAGCTAATACCCTTAGCTTAGATTCTTCCTAATATCCCTGTCAATGGCTATTTGGAGACCAGTTCAATTCCCTTGCTTCTTAGTTGAGAGACAAGCAGTTAGACAAGCAAAAGATATAAAAGACTCTGTTACAGAGTCTCTGTGGGTAAGCTGCAGTCTTACCCACACTCTGTGCCTCTGAATGTGACTTTTCTGGAAACAGGATCTTCAGAATGTACCTGTTAATGTGATAAAGTTAAGGATCTCTTCCTACCAGGACATCAGTCAGTGGACTGCATCCTCACCCCACCCTGCCCATCCAGTATGACTTCACTTTATCTTAGGGTGCAGCCTACTCCAGGGTGACTGGTGTCCTTATAAGAGGAATTGCCACACAAAGATAGAAGCATGCGGCAAGAACTCCAGGCGAGGACACAGGCTGAGAGGAGAGCTTCAAACTCCAAGCCAAACAGCAACAGGGATCTGTGGCCACTACCAGAGAGTCTTGGGGGAGCAGGGCCCTGTCCACACTATAATTTCACACTTTTGTTCCCCAGAACCACCAGAGAATGCATTTCTGTTGATTAACCCCCAGTCTGCAGTCCTGAATCATGGCAGCTTTTGCCGAGTGCTGCAGAGTCTGCTGCTCCCTGCCCTGCTCAGCACATAATTACTATTATATTTATCCTGAAAACCTCTTCAACTCCAGAATGAAGCTCCATCTGTGCTGAGGTTTATACTTCTGTATTTTATTTCTAAAGAGCATTACCACTGTTCTAGCAGCTTCCCCAGCAATCTCTTTAGGGACTGGCTTATAACACATCTTTGGGGGTGATGCTTCTAGAACCACTGTAAGCAAGAGGTCTGTCTGGTGCTCCTGGAAAGTGAATATTCTTGGAGCATCTGACAAGGAAGTGACACTCTGATGGGGTGGTGGTGGGGTGCTGTAGCAGTGAGCAATGACAGATTAAGAACTCAGAGCTGCACTTTGGAAGAGCCTGTGAAACGTTTGTCACCTCCCTGTCCTTTCTTTGGCCTAACAGAACGTGGGTCCACGGAGCTTTCTTCCAGCTCAGATCACCCACAGAAACTCAGTCTACATTGCCTGGGGCTGGCACCAAGAGGTCATCACCCTGGGCACCAGGGAATGAATCTCGAATCTGTTCCTGGTTTTGCTACTTTCCAGCGTTACCCACTTTTTTCATCTATACAATGGGTGTACCACCTCCAGCTCCCGTGGTGGTCCACAAATCAGAGGAGCACATAGAAGTGCATTGAAAATTGTGAAGTGCCGTGCAAATGGAAAGTGGTGAAATCATTATCAGCATCATCCTCCACCCGTTGTCAACGCCTGGGGGTGGGGGGGAAAGCCTCCAAGAGGACCAGGAAAACTGGATCAAAGTGTCCAGCTGGTAAGAGAAGAGTCAGCTGTGGGGCCTGATCCTCTGGTATTGGCTGCCCGGGGAGAGAGCAGTCAAGATGCGCTCTCCTGGTGGGTAATAAAATGAGTTTACGTAGGGAGGAAGCAGGATGTATAAAGCCCAGGAGCCTGATCTGTTTCTGAGATCAAACAGAGCAGCATTGTGCCGGGTGTGGAGCTGATGTCAGCGTCTAGAATGCTGGTCGGAATCGCCCTGGTTACGCAGCTGGACCGGAATAAGGCAAGTCTGTATCTGAACTCATTAATTTTTACAACCAACTGAACTGTTCTGCCTTTTGGTGGGGGTGACGAGCGTGGGGGAGATGGTGCAGGGGGAGAACAAGGGAAGGAAGGGGAAAGGGAGGGGCTCGTATGTATGGAACAGGGGGCTTCCCACCAGCACACACTATCTCATTATTCCCCTGCAAACCCGGCTTCAAGACTCCAGGGTCCAGGACAGGCGGGCAGAGCTGCTGCTGCCAGTTGTGCCTGCGGAGGGAGAGAGACAGGCCAATGAGATGGGAGGATAATTAGAGTGGCACAAGCCGCTCCTGGGAGTTCAGGTTATGTCAATGTTTCCATTATATGCCTCACTTTTCAGGGGTTTATAACGGAGCTGTAAAAACTCACGCCAGCTGAGAATTTGGCAGGCCAGTTCCAAGCAACGGGATGGACTTTTTTTTTTTTAATTCATTTCAGCTGCTCATAACTTGGGGTGGGGTTAATGCAGTGGGACTGGGTTGAAACCTTGGGCACTGTTTTGCTGTCTGATCACCCTTCCTCCTCATCCTCTTGTCATTTTTGTGTGTGTGTGCTGTAGGAAAAGCAACAGCATTATATAAATGCACCCCAAACACTTCCTCAGCCAAGAATCTATGGATACTTTCCAAGTGCTAGTTAATTCAGCTTTTCTCCATTCCCAAGACTGTACACAGGTCAACCCCCTCTTCCAAGCAAAAATGTGAGCGCTCTCACTCAAACTTCTACCCCAAAGACTGTGGAACCCTGCAGATGAGCTGTTTGCAGCCAGAGCTAGTCCAAAGGAATCCTAAAGTGGGATAGTCCTTCTGCAGTGGTGTAAAAGGGTCTGTTGTGGTTGATGAGCATCATCCTGGTTTTATCTGGTGGGTTTATTGGCCTCTCAGGCAGAGCGAAGAGAGTTTCCTCTATTTTTTATCCTCTCATAATCTCTAATTCAGTCCAAGTACCCATATCCTGCTGGATCCTGGGCAATTGAGGGCATACATTTCTCCACGAGAAGCATGAAGCCTTCTTTGATTCTCCAG